ACTTTTCTCCAGATCATAGAGTGGACATTAATTTTTTCTTCCTTTCTTTTCCTTCCTCTTCTTTCCTTCCTCTTTCTTTCCTTCCTTCTTCCTTCCTTTCTATTTTCTTCCTTCCTTCCTTCCTTCCTCCCTCCCTCCCTCCCTCCCTCCCTCCCTCCCTCCCTCCCTCCTTCCTTCCTTCCTTCCTTCCTTCCTTCCTTCCTTCCTTCCTTCCTTCCTTCCTTCCTTCCTTCCTTTCCTACCTCCCTTTTCCTTCCTTCCTTCCTTCCTTCCTTCCTTCCTTCCTTCCTTCCTTCCTTCCTTCCTTCCTTCCTTCCTTCCTTCCTTCCTTCCTTCCTTCCTTCCTTCCTTTCCTTTTTCATGTTGTATGAACCCAGCAAAAACTTATCAACAGATATTCCAACAAAGCCTCCACTTATCCTTGTCCACAAATTACATACCCCCAAACAGTAACTTGACAGTTAACAGACAAAAGGGATGTGACCTTTAACTGTGTAACGCAGGCATTGACCACTGCCATTGAAGAGAGTTCATGTGACTTTACATAGATAATTTAACTCAAGTGCCTTCTACTACACAGTGCCCATAACGATATCTCAGTTCTTAGCGCCTCCCTGTAAATTACCTTCTATTTTACTTATATGTGTATCTTTCTTCCAATTGAATGTAAATTCCTTAAGGACAAGGATTGTTTCATTTTTTGACAATTATGCTCCTATCGCTTATCATGCTGCCTGGGAACATAATAGCCACTTAATAAGTGATCACTGATTGATTGATGTATTATAGTAGTCATTGTGTCTATTATTATTAACAGCCTAGTTTATATTTTGGCCTCACCTGATTTCTTTTAGACTCTACATAGAAGGCTATCTCTTAAGGTAGGTGTTTACCCCCAGGATCTAAACTTCTCTTCCCTCCTCAATCTCATCCACTCAAATGGCTTCACCTGCTACCCCTATGCAGCTGACTCCGAAATCCACATCCCAATGTACCAGCCTGACTTTTGAGCTCCAAATCTATCTAGCCCAGACACTTTCACTCTCAATAGAATATCTTCACCTGGTGTGCATCTGACTATGTCTGAAGTCTTTATCTTTGCCCCTAAGCCTGTTCCTCCTTCTGACCACTATTTTTGTCCATGCTATGACTCAAATCCATCCAGTCTCCCATGTTTTATGTGCTGGCATCTTCTTTCCTCCCACCCCATGGACTCATAATTGTTTTCTATATCCCCACATATACATATGCTGTCTCTCTGATGTGGCTGTGGAATCCTCAAGGACAGGGATTTTCACTTGTCTTTGTATTCCTAGTGCCTGGTACATGGTAGGTGACCAATGTTTGTTGCTTGCTGATTGATTTTAAACCTTAAGGTTATCTTTGACTTCTCCATCTTTCATCCCTCCCATTCAATGAATTACTAAGTCCTATTTGACCTCTATGATATCTCTAACATCTCTCCTCTCTAGGTCCACTGACTCTGTCCTAATAACAGGCCCTCTTTAGCTTCTTCCTGGACTGTTGTAATAGCTTCCTAAAGAGCAAAGGTTTGCTTCACTCTCCCTCCTCTCCAAAGTATTCTTCATACTACTGCCAGAAGAATTGCATTTATGTATCGATATAGTCTTGTCTTTCCCCTGTTCCAGAGTGTCCACTGGCTCCCTATTGCCTACCAAATAAAGCTCAAAGTCTTTTGTTTGGCATTTAAGAATGTAAGCTCCTTTCAGGCAAGGGTTGTTTAATTTTTGCCATTGTATCCTCTGCACCTAGAATAGTACTTGGCATATAGTAGACACTAAATCAATCCTTATTGGCTTTAATTGAGTCAACATACCCCAAGCTAACACTGCCCTCCCTCTCCAGTCTTACTTCAATGCTTCAGGCAGATTGGACCTCTTACTATCCCCCTGTAATATTTTCTTTTCTCTTGCTTTGTTCATTCTGCTCCCTGTACCTAGAAGCCATACCCCACCCCCAGCTCACTGAATTACTACTCATTCCTTAAAACCCACCTTGAATATCCTTTCTTACAGAAGCCCGTCCTGATTGCTACCAGTTTTTAATGACATGCACAACACTTTGCTCATTCATTTTTAAAAGCATTTATATTATTTTTTTGGTATTGGAGAGTCACCTTTGGCATAAGGGCTAGACAGCCAACCTTGTAGTAAGGAAAATCTGGGTTCAAGTCCTACTTTTTTTGTAAGCCTGAGTAATGCCCCTGAATCCCTCAGTTTCCCAGGCAATTCCTTAAGGCAGACTACCACCTACTACTAAGGCTACTACTACCACCCTCCTGGATTGTTCCAGCACCTCCTAGGGGGAATTTAGGAACCTCTTGAAACTTTGGAAACTAATATTATTAAGTTGCAGAGCAGAGGCTGGATCTGAATGGGTAAAAGGAGTTTTCTCACAAGGTGTTCTGTATACCAATGAAATTATGGGTCCAGTTCTAAATTTAAAATAGTTATTTATGTGCCCTATGTATAATCCTCCACCCCACAACTAGAACATAAATTCTATGAGGGCAGGGACTGTGTCCCATCTAAATAAATATATATTCATTAATAATAATCAGAGGTTCCCAAACTTATTTGGCCTACCACCCCCTTTTCAAAACAAATTACTCAGTGACCCCCTGGAAATCTACTTTCTCTAACCATTTAATGCTTTTTTTAAAAATGCATCATTTCAAAAAATATACTTTTTTAAATGATGCATTTTAAATTTAATGATTTTTATAAATTTGTGGGTTTTTCCCTGCTTTGAAATTTTGATGAAGCAATATTGCATCATGTAACCATATAGTATTGTATTATAAACAAGTCATTACATGCACATATTCCTGCTGATACATGCTTGACTTCCTGACAATGTACAACATACTCATCTGCTAACACTTGCTTGTTAAGACCTGTTGGTAGACTTGATCACTGATGGGTTATAACTTGCATTTTGTGTGTTTATTTGGAAAATAATGTAATCACTATGAGTTTAACTCTGTTACACAATGGATGAAACATGCATGAACATTTCAAAATTTTGTTCTCTTCTTTCCTTATGCTTCCACTGCCCCTTTATTTTAATTCAATGCCCCCCAATTGCACCTGAGGCTATTACCACCCCCCTGGATTGTTCCAGCACCTCCTAGGAGGAATTTAGGAACCTCTGGGAATTTTGGAAACTATTAGTATTAATAAGAGTAATAACAACAGTTAGCATTTATATGGTGCTTTAAGATTTGCAAAGCACTCTACAAATATTATCTTACTGTATCCTCACCACAGCCCTTAGAGGTAAGTTTTTTTTTTAAATTGTTCCCATTATACAGATAAGGTGGGCACAAGTTAAGTGACTTTCCCAAGGCTGAACAGCTAGAAGGTGTTTGAAGCCAAATTTGCATTTGGGTCTGTTTTACTTCAAGCTCAACTCTCCCACTTCAGGTATTTAACGAATGTTGTTTTAATTGAATTGCTATTAGAACACTTGACAAATATGGATGCTGCAGGAGGACACCCACAGATAGGACACAGAATGGCTAAGTGAAGCCTCCATGCCTTATATTGGACCTTGCAAGGACCAACTCACATTCTACTGAAACCTAACGTATCCATGCAGATGAATTTAAGCATTTAACATTGTTATCCTTTTTTAAACCTGACATTGTCTCAGAAATTACACTAGTATGGTCAGTGAAACTAGTATCTGATGTGACTTACCTGGGATGTAAAGTGGAGACTGATGGCAGAGTCCCTGAGCCCTTGCTTTTATTTTCAGAGGCACCCTATGGGCTCCTGAGGCAGGCTGTGTGTGTGTGTGGAGGGGGGGAAGGGAATGATTGACCAAAGTGCTTTTAGCTAAGACAGAGGCAAGGGGGAATAAAAAGGTTTCTAATTCACAAGGGCAGTTAATAGAAAAGGAAGACAATTTTACTCACTTTGCAGAAGGTCTGAGAAGGAGGTGGCCTGGTAAGGGAGATGAAAAGAATATCACAACACACTGAGGGAAAAAGATCTTTTTTATTATTAATTTTTCTTTTAAAAAAGTTTTTTCTTAAATTTAGGTAAACCTCTTTCTGGTCTCCCCTCCCTTGCTCTCCACCCCCCTCTTAAAAATATAAAAATGTCCAAACCCCAGAAGACGAAAGTACAATAAATATGCAGGAAACACAAAAACATACTTTATTTGTTTCTTTATACAAAATAAGGAAACTAGAAGCCCTCAACTTCCAAAAAAGTGTCATCCTGTACATCCTTACAGCCCTGACCTCCCCCACACAGCTCAGGGCCAGGGGCCACTGGCTTCCTAGGGCCCTTGGCCAGCTCAGCTTGCCAAAGCTCCTCTGGTTGCACTCTGCAGAGCCAGGAGCAGGCGCTAGTGTCTGAGTCTTGCCCCATGGGGCTCCACATCAAAAGCAAAAGGGGCAGGGGAGGGGAGTCTCCCTAACCCAGAGGGAACCCCCTGCACGTCAGAGGTTGGGAAAGCTGAATTGGGGTCTGGGGAGAGGCCACAGGGGGGCGACAAATTCCAGGTTGAGTTTTCTTCTTTCCTAACCCAAGTCCACACGAAGACACGTTTTTTCCCTTATATTCTCTGTCTCTCTCATTTTCTCTCTCTCTCTCTCTCTCTCTCTCTCTCTCTCTCTCTCTCTCTCTCTCTCTCTCTCTCTCTCTCTCTCTCTCTTCTTTCTCTCCCTGTCCTCTTTCTTCCCCCTTTATGCTTTCTCCTCTCTCTTCCTCCACCTCTCCTTACCTCCGTACTTGTCTTTTCCCCTGCTTTCCCTTCTCACTGCTTCTTTTATCTTTCTTTCCTCCCCATTCTTTCTCTCACACACCTTTCTCATTTTTTTTAAAGAAAGGGAGAGGTGAGGGAGAAAAAAGTTTTTAAAAATGCTTTTCGAAATTGGAGAAGAAAAAATCGTCTCCATTTCTTTGCCTCTCCCCTCCCTCCACGAAAAGAAGAAAAGGGGGACATGGGTTTAAGTCTCGCAGGTGCTTCAAGATCTGTTGATCCAGTGGGATTGACTTTGGTCCAAGAAAACTGCTTGTAGCCTCGAGGAGAAAAACACTGTGGTCTGGCTCTCGGTCCCGGAAAGAGCCACCTCGAACCAGCTTGGGTGGCCAAGTGAGGGATGGATGGGGCTCTCCCCAAGTACTATCCCGCCTTTGGAGGAGTCAGACATTAGAGGGTGGACCTGAGGGAGGACTGAGTGAGGCTCGGTTGGCGATAACGCCTGGGTTTGGAGGCAGTGGGATACAGGCCCGGGTCTGGGCGTTTTGGTATAGGGGTATGTGTGTGTGTGTGTGTGTGTGTGTGTGTGTGTGTGTGTGTGTGTGTGTGCGCGCGTGCGCGCGCGTGCTCTTGCTCTTTCATGAATGTGTGTTTGCTCTTGCTCTTTCATGAATGTATGTGTGTGAGATTGTGATTCTGTGCGTGAGTGAAAAATTGTGTGTGCATGTGTGTGCTGCGTAGGACTCTGGATCCACAAAGGCGCCGGGCCTGGGGTGGGGAGAGGTCTGGGTGCTCCGTGCAGTTCCTAAGCCGGGTGTATTGGGCGGGGAAGGGGCTGGGGAAAGGCCCAGCAACTTTTACCACACGGCGGCCTCATTCAGCTCCTGGTTGGGATGTGACAGTGGCCCGCTGTAACCGCTATTGCTGGACATAGAGAAAGGCGGACTGGGCCCGCCGGTGAAGACCTCGCCCGGGATGGGGTGCAGGGAGCCAGTCATGCCAGGCTCAGGGCTCGGTGTGTCCGGGTGCGAGATCATATCCGTGTACCTTTGGTTTTCTGAAGAGTGGTGCCCCGGGAGGGGTGGCTCCAGGGGCCCCAGCGGGGTGGAGCCGGGCCCTGAGTTCGGTAAGTAGCTGGAGTCCGCGGGCGACTGAGCCTGTGACGGCGGGGCGTGCGGGAAGAAGTCATAGTTTCCTCCAGGGCCGTAATAGTCTCCTTGGTAATCTGGCCAGTGGGGATGGGGGAAGGTACCAGGGAAGGAGGGGCAGGGAGGGAGAGATCCATAGAGGAACAGAAGCAAGCCATAAGCCCAGAGATGGAGACAGATACACACAGACAGTCAAACGGCCAGATACACAGAGACAAATCAGAAACAGAATGGAGTAAGGAACACACTCACACAGAGAAACCAGATACAGCCCGAGAGATAGAGGGAATAAAGGGGAGATCAGAAGTAGAGGAATACAGAGATGGTTGGAGAGACAGAGCATCAGAAATAAAATACGAAATAGAAAAAGAAACAGGGATAGGAAGGAAGGACACACAGAAAAGGCCAGAGAGACAGAGACACCAGAAACCAACCGAGTGTCAAAATTGAAAAAAAAAAAAAAAGGGTGGTGGTAGGGTAGGGTATATACATCCACGGGAAACGCCAGAGACAAGCCAAGAGATGGAAATAGAAAGCAGAGATAAGAGTGTAGAACAGAGGTACGCAGAGAAGGTCAGAAACATTAAGATGCAAAGACCAAAGAGAAAAGAGACACAGACCAGGTGCACAGAGATAAGTAGAAGCAGAGAAACGGAAGCAAAGATACAAGTAAGGACCGAAGAAAAGGAGGGGGGAAAAGAAGTGAACACAGAGGAGAGAAGATGAAAGGATACAAATAGAAATGGATGAGAAAAATAACGAGGTGGAGATAGATTGGAATATCGAGATAGAAAGAAGGAATAGAGAGGAGGAAAATGTGGGGGTAGGGAAAGGGAGGTAGGAAAGAAGAAGAATCATTAGAAAGGTGAGAGAGAGCAACCTATGAGATCTCTGGGCCAGAGACAAGCCTTTGGAAGTGAGGAGTTGGGGGAAGGAGATGGTTCCCTCTTACCACTGGCTGGGAGGAGCCCTAGATTATGCCACAAATTTCGTCCCCTTCTCCCCATCATCCCCTCCCTCTTCCCTCCTCCCTTGCAGTTGGTATAGCAGATTCTGAGCCAATCTGAAAGTGGAGGAACTGTTTATCCTAGCCATTTCAGTCTTTTCCTAGAAGACCAGGGCTGGGCAAGGGCACAGGACTCAGTCCACACTGGCATGAGCCCTGACTGACAAAGACAACTGGAAGAAGAGTAAAGACCAGTCCTCACTCCCTTCACTCTCCCCCATTCCTGCCCCTCCATTCCACTTTTGGAGCCGTTATTCCTAATATTACCACATTACTGTGGCAAGCAGAGAGGCTTGCCCACGGAGGGTCAGAGTGATTATCCAGAGGGACTCAAGTGGGGAAGTCCAAAGACTGCGTTGGGGGGAGTTTATGAGGGAGGCGCTGAGACCTTTCCCCGCCCTTCCCGTTAACCTGGGCCCGATTTGCCCCAAAGGCTGGAAATTTACCCAATTGTCCCAGACTCGAAAAGAAAAACCAATTGTTTGTGAAGGAAACCTTCAATTCAAAAGTCAGGAACACAGGTTATTAGTATTGGGAGGGCCCTGGGAACATGAAATGTCAGAGCTGGGCGGGATCTCAGGTATAGGATGTTCGAAGGTGACGAAACCTTAGAACACAGTATCAGAGCAGCATGGTCACCTGGAGCATAGAATGTCAGATCTTGGCGGGTCTTAAAACACAGAACGTGAGCATGTCAAAAGTGTAAGCAACCTTAAAACAAGGAATGTCAGATGTGAGAGGTTCTTTGGACATCATTAATCCTCTCTCTTATTTTACAGAGGGGGAAACTGAGGTCTTGAAAAAAGTCAAGGTACTTGCCCTAGGCTGTTCAGGAAGTTAGTGGCATATGCACTCGGACCCAGGTTCTTCACTATAGCTGCTGGATTTACAGCTAAAGGACATCTGCGTTTCGCCTAAAGCCTACGGGGAATCGCCCTGAATGTTAATTTCTAGAGGCACGTTAAAAAACAAAAACGAACACGCTTCTGTCTTTACTTTTCCCTCACATCTGCGGAAAGGTGTGCAGTGTGCGTTTGTGGGCCCCTTTGAACGCCAGTCACAAGAATGTGACTGCTCGAGGATCCAAAAATCGAAAATCGAACTGTCCTTCACCCCATTCCCCTAACCCAGTCTCCAGCGGGTGGGTCTCCCAGAGAGGAGAGAGAGGGTGGGAGCCCAGGGAGAAAGAGAATGCTGTTCTTTCGCCCACGCCGGCAGCGGCTGTGGCTCTCCCCCTCCTTCTGGACCCCCTGCCGTTCAGTACGAAGGCGCATGGAGCGCCTCTCCTAGCAAGCCAGGAGCCGGCGGCCCAAGGTTCTGGGGAGGGGGGAGAACTACCTCAGCAAAGGTGAGGAGCCGCGCTGGGGAGGAAGGAAGAGAGGACAGGGCCCTGCACTTCGGTTGCCTGCAAGCAGCAGCGGCGGCAGGGAGCCGAGGAGCCGAGGAGGAGACTTTGCAAGTCCCCGGCCTACTGAGGGGAGCCGGCGCTCGGCTAGCGGCCTCCATATGGTGGCAGGGTTTGGAGGTAATTGGAACAAATACCGTCTGAAAGAAGTACAAAAGGCTGCAGCTGGCGCTTTGTTCGCGCTCACACAAGAGGGAGAGGGGGCGCTGCGCGGAGCCCAGGGCTTCTGTTCACACAGACAGCTCCGGCACAAAGTGCCCTTTCTTGCGTGCTGCCGGGGTGCCAAACTTGGCTGGGGCTTGGGACGGAATCTCTCGGAGCGCGGATTAGAGCGGCCCGCGTGGCCGCAGCTCCGGCTCTCCCCTCTCGCCCTTCTCTTCCCCCCTCCCCATCTCCATTCTCTGTCTCTTTCCTCTCCCTGCCTCAGTCTCTCGTCTCTTTCTCTTTCTCTTTCTTCCCCTTTTCTTCCTTCCTTCCCTCCCTTCCCCCCTCTCCTCTCCCTCTCCCTCGTCTTTTCCTGTCTTTCTCTGTCTCCCCTTTCTTCTCTACTCTCTCTCCTTTCCCCCTCGCCTTCTCTCTTCATCTAACCTACTTCCCACTCTCTTCTCTCTCCTTTGTCTCTCCTCTTTCTTTTTTCTTTCTTTTTTTCTCTCTCACTGCTTTTTCTCCTCTCTCGCTTTCTCTTTCCTTCACTGTTTCTCTTCTGTCTCTCTTTTCTTCATTCTTACTATCCCTCTCCTTCCCCCTTGCTCCCCACAAAGGTAAAGGGGAGAAGGAAGGGTGAGTTGCATACAGCAGAGGGGTCAGACTTCTAGCAGGTGCCCAGAGCAACCTGACCGGTGGAGCAACAAGTCGAGAGTGCTCCCACTCAGAGCTCTGCCGTGACGTACGGGGCTCCACCCATGAGGTCCGGAAGGAAAATGGGAGTAGTAAAGGTGGATCCTGGGAGGGTAGACTCCCAGAAAGGTGAGAACAAATCAGTGCTAATTACTGATATTTATAGAGACCTTTAAAGTTGCAAAGAGATTTTTCATTTATATCTTGTTTGACTCATAACAATCCTGTGAAGTAGTTACTACAAGTATTATTCCCCCTATTTTACAGATGAGGAAACTGAGGCTTAGTGAAATAAAATGATTTACCTATAGAAAGATCATTATTGCTTATTATTCATGATATTGTTTTAATCTGTCAATCAAAATTATTACAAATAATAATAGGCTTACTCTTTAGAAACCTCCCACCTTACAGGGTCTAGAGGTATAGAACAGGCCCTAGTTGGGAAGCCTCTCTGTCAGGGTGCCCTTGGCCAATAGGTTGTGCTCTAGAATCCAGTTGAATGTCAGAGCACTATTCCCCTGAGGTCTGAGCTTTGGGGCAAAGGGATGAGAGGCCTCTGTGAGCCAGAGGTCACCAGATGCCACCCACTGGAACTTTGGCCAAGACTGGATTAGGCAGGACCTTCCCGACTGCTCACATTGGTGCCATGACATTATTGTTACCGCCAAAGGGTTTCGGTCCCTTTTCTTTGGAGCAAGAACACTGCACCCACGTACACACAAACTTAAAACTAAAATAATGCTTATCATTCAGGGAGTGCTTTTATTGCAAAGCACCTCACAGATCCTACCTCATCCGATCCTCACAATGTACAGACATGTACATACACATACATATCACAGAAATGTGCATAGTCTTACCGTACTAATACACATATCACACATATGCAAATAAAATAGATACACATCACAGGTACACTTTTGGACAGACACAAAAATAATGTACATACAAATATACATGTATATATATACACACACACAACATTGAGGTAATAGACATAGAAATACACAGTACACAATATAAATAAAAACATATACATCACAGAAATACACATATGCATCATACAATTTCCACATATGCACACATACACTCCATACAAACACAACTATCCATATACCACAGATTCCTCAAAAACAAAACATACAAGTACATACCACAATACACATGCTAACAGATACATACACATATGTATACAGATATGCACACCACTAACATATACATGCACACAAACAAGTTCTCTTATATTATTTATTAATTTTATTCAAACCCAGCCCATTTGTTCCTGGTATGAATGATCACTTTATACTTAACTAACAAAATTACTTTTTAGTTAAAAATCAAACAGAATTCACATGGTGTGGGCGCATAGAGTGGGATAATGTTGCCAAGTGGTGGTGACCACTTAGTGAGAACAATATTGAAGACGCTAAGTCTCTCTCTCTGTCTCTGTTTCTGTGTCTCTCTCTGTCTCTGTCTCTCTGTCTCATCTCTACTCTCTGTCTCTCTCTTTCTCTCCCTCCCTCCCTTCCCTCCCTATTTTCTCCTTCCACCTTTAATCACCGTGATCTCTAATCTGCCTTGCTCTTTATGGTCCCTCCACCCTCCCAGGAATACATGATCTCAAGCCCTCCTCCCAAAAATTGCTGTTCTGTTGATTTTATTTAAAACCACAGAATCCAGCTTTACCCCTTTTTACTCTTCTGGGGTTTCATGCCCAGGGAGGCAGATGATCTTCTTTCCCAGCTCTCTTCCACTCCTCCCAAAAGTACATTCACCATCACTTCCTCCTAACCCTTAACACATCCACAGAATCAGTCTGTTGGGGCTGACCCTAGAGGCTCTAAGAAGCCTTAATTTGGCTTCAAAATGTCTGCAAATGGCACCCCCTGTGTATGACTGTACTAGCAGAGGAACACAGAATCTCTTAGAAGAGATTTAAGAAGTTATTTCATTCAACCTTCTACCCAGGTTTTGTATTAAGCTGGAATCAGCTTACCACACCCCTTGACCTATTAGAATTATTTCTTCTAGGTCTCAGAGAGCTAGATTTTGGGGGGACTAAAACATTTATAAAATATAAACATTAAAAACTGCCTTGAATTTACATTTAAAAAATGTCCCTCATTGTGGTCCCCCTCTGTGCCCTGTGCCCCAGGCAGCTGCCTGACTTAGGCTTAGCTATGTCCCAGAGCCAGAAGGCAGGGGAGCATGGCAAATTCCCCTGGAGCCCTGGGGCCCAGAGTTAGGGGACAGGTGAATGGAAGAAGAGCTGAGTCTTCCTGGAAACCAGTAGGGATGGAGAATGAATATTTCCCAAACCCAGCAGTGTGAAAGCATTATTTGTAAATTCTCTCCAGTTATCTTTGAGTCTAGGCAAAAACTCTGAAATACAACTCCCCAGACTGCAGTATTTTTGGGGGGGGGGAAGGGAGGAGCTCCAGGTCAAGAGGAAGCCCTATCTTGTCTCTGTGTTAAACTGGGTATGAGCTAACATGGACCTGCCTCTTGGAGTCACTGTCCTCTCTCCAGGGACACTGTTTGCTTCAACCCAGCAACGGAAGCTCTAACAATTGGAAGGGTCTAGGAGAACAATCGTCTTTACACCCGGTATGCCAAAGCAGCATCCTTTGGCTTGCACTCCACCCCCAGGGAGGGTTCATTACTGTCCTTTGATTGTCTGCTGGCCAGGCCTATGGATGGGCTCAAGGGCATTGGGCAAGACACCTCTCAAGGTTTCTACTCTCCCCTCCCCCCCATAGCTCTTTTCAGGAAAAGAAACTCAAGACACTATAACTAACGTTTTAAAAATCTGTCTCTTCCTCTGTCTTTATCTTTTTAGTCTCCCCGTTTCTTCTTTTTCTCGTCTCCTCTCTGTCTCTGTCTCTCTATCACTTTTTCTGTCTGACCTGTGAATGTCTCTATCTCTTTCTCTGTCTCCTATAGCTCCTCTCTCATTTGAGACTGCTCTGTCCATACATTCATCAAACATTTAAAGCAATAGATTTTTACATACTCAATTCCCTTGGATAGAGTTTTTCTTTTAAATGGAAACGCACGATGTACAAAGGCAAAACTAACTGAAGATAAAGTCAACTACTCAAACTTTACAGCACGCAGAAGACGGATGGGGAAGGGGAGACGGGGTTGCTCGTGGCCGTGGAGGAGGGGTGCCTCCATGTCCACTGAAGTGTTGAGGAGTGAGTCAGGGGCCCTGGCTGTACGGCGCCCAGAGCAGCCTAACCAGATTTCTGCAGAGCGCCCATATCGGCCTGGAATTGTGAGCAAGCCCAGTCTCTGGTACTTGGGCGTTGGTGAGTGTGAGCCTGCACGCACAGTTGGGGACAGATGCCCTGGGCAGGAGTGCCCCTAGCTGGGAGCTAGTGAATTTCTAAGAGGAGTCTCTCCGGAGGTGTAGGCACGTCTCTGGGCTCCTGGGTGGCTACGGGGAGTACTCTAGGGGCCCGGGCGCTGGGACGCGAGGCAGAAAGAACTCCACCGATCGCTCCTTACCTCCATAGTAAGTGTAGGGGGTGGACCCCAGCATCTCCGACTCATCCAGCCGGCCACCAAGTGGACGCATGCGCCGAGGACTCCTGAAGAAAGCGTGTCTCCGCGCACCAAGAGCGCTCAGCTGTTTCATCCTGCGCTCCTTGGACCGCCGGTTCTGGAACCAGACCTGGGGATGGAAGGTGGGGGAAGCAGTGAGCAGAACCCTAAGGTTGGGCCTCTTTGGGAACATCAAGACCGAGGGGCAGACTCAGGAAGTACAGTACTATTAGGAGGCCTGGGCTTCCACTTTGGGGGGGGACAGCATTGAGGAGACTAGTTTTCCCGTTTGATTTCCTTATCTCCTCAAAATACCGCCAAAGTGGGATCTCTTTCCTGTCGCGTCTCCACCCCCCCCACCACCACGAGAGAGGAAAAACTCTAATGACATTCCTCTTCCTCCCCCCCCCCCCTTCCCTATAGTCCGGTCTCCTTCCACCAGGGAAGAGGGTGAGGGAATGGGGGAAGAGGGCGGATTAAAGTCAGAGCTGGTGAAGGGAGGGAAAGTTCAGAGTTAACTCTTCGAACCAACCAAGAGTGAAAGATTTCGCAAATCCGTGGGGAGATTGATAATGAAGTCGACTTCTTACGGCCCCCAGCCTCAGCCTCAGACGTCTTCATAAAGACAAGAGTCAGAGGTGTTAACAACAAAGATTCTTCCTCCCCTTCCTCCTTGCCCTGTCTGTCCTTTCTCTTTTATTTGTCTTGTCTGTTTCATTCTTCATTCCCCCTCCCCTTTTCTTGTTCTCTTTCTCGATCTCAAAGGGGCTCTCGACCTGAGAGATAACCTAATTATTTGTACCTCCTCTCCCCCGCCCCACAGTCTCCCAACCCCCTTCCTCTCTCTCCAGGCTCATCGGAGAAACGACCTTGTCCTCACTCTTTTGGATAATAGGAAGAGCGAAGAGCTTGGAACTGAGGAGACCTAGATTCTAGATCTGACTTTGCTGTGTGATCCTGGGAAAGTCTCTTGCCCTCTCTGGGCCTTAATTTTCTCCTCTCGAAAATGAGGGCTCTTTGAATCTAAGGTCTCTTCCAGCACTGAATTTTGTTTTAAAGACTCTTTCTTTTTCTCACGTTCTGTTTGAAGGTCCCTCCTGGCTTTAATATTGTATATTCTAAGGTTTCTTCTCGTGTTTCCAGGTCCTTCTCAGTTCTGACATCCTATCACTGTAATAGTCCAAGGCTCTGAGGAGGAGAGGGAAGAATCCTGGGAATGTGTCCTTGGACACTAGCAGAAGAAGGCAGCCTCCCAAAGAAGCAGATCTGCTCATCATAGCCAAAGTACCAACTTCCTCTCTTATGCCTGAACTCCTCTGCACAGCCCCAGCAGATACCACACATTCATCATACATAAGTATCTAAGCACTCCCAGGGACCTCCTTTTCCTTCCCCTACTTCTTCCTCTATTCCCATTTCCCCTCTTCCTACTTTCCCCCCTTCTACTCAGGTCTCCCTCCTCCCCCCTCTACTCCTTTCCCTTTCCTCTTCTTCCTTCAACTTCTTCCCTCTTCCTTCCTCTCTTTCCCTCTTCCCTTCTACCCCCTTCCTTTGCCTTAGGCAAACGCAGTATTACCCCCCTCCCCGAAGATCTATTGGGTCCTTGGAGAGGAGGGGAGTCGAAGGGAGGAGTGGAGACTTGCCCTGACCTTGTTCCTAATAGGATCCAACTTTGACCGACTCTGACCTGGATTCATCTTTCCTGCCTTTGCTTTTCCCGATTATGGGAGAAAAGCCCAGCCCAGGCCTGGACTCCTCCTTCCTTTCCCTGTGGTCAGTACTGAGCCTACTTCCAGCTGTGATTTCAGTGCCTTGACTGGGGACAGTGATTGGGATTCTCAAAAAGGGGGCAGCTTGTGTGAGGCTCCGAGAGGAGGAGGGAAGAGACCAGAGAAGACGCTGGGAATGAACCGAAGGGCTCCCGGGTTCCTTCTTAGCCATCAAAGGGAGGAGATGAAGGGGAACTTTGGAGGCAGAGGGGAGAGGGAGTTTAGAGAATGAGAAAAGGGTTTTTCTCAACAGCCTCTTCCTTTTGTGTAAGGCTTGGCAGACAGCTTTCCTATCCATTAACTCATATCATCCGATACTGCTATTAATAACTCACATACCACTTCAAGGTTTTTGAAACATTTTCTCTCACAACCACCCGGGCAAGCAAAGCCCCAAAGAGTTATTGTTTCCTTCTTCTAGGGCAGGAAACTAAGTTCTAGAGAAGGGAAATTACTTGCCCAAGGGCATATGCAGAGAGCGTGAGCCAGGATTAGAGGCCAAGACTCCTAAATTGTCACATCAGGGGGCTTTCAGTGGAAACATTACAGGTAGAAGAGAAGAAAGAACAGGAAGCGGAAAAAAAAAGAACGAGAAAGGAGAAAAGAGGAAAAGAAAGGGGAAGAAAAAGAGAGAAGGAAGAGGGAAGGAGATGTGAGGAAAAGGAGAGAAGGGGAGAGGGATAATGAGAGCAGCAAAGAGGGAAAGGTGAAGAAAGGAAGGCAGAGCTAGAGAAAAGAAGAAAACAGACGAGGGGAAAGGAAAACTTAAAGAGAAAAGAGAAAGAGATTGAGTGGTAGGGAGAACCACAGCCAGCTAGGGACAAAAGAGGGAGGAAGGCGGCGGCGTTGCGGGAGCAGCTGAAGGCCGTCCCAGGTTTTTCCAAGGGGCCGGGTTGGGGGTTAATGGCTCCCTACCTGGATGACCCGCATGTTGAGGCCCGTCTCTTGCGCCAGCTGCTCGCGGATGTGGCGCGTGGGCTTGGGAGTGGCGGCGAAGGCGGCCTTGAGCGTTTCCAGCTGCTTGGCCTTAATGGTGGTGCGCGGCCCCCGCCTCTTGGTGCCGGAGTTCTGCTCCTCGTTCTCGTTGTTTGTGGTTTCCTTGTCGGACGACGTTGAGTTGTCGGTCTCTTTGGGGTCGTCCTGGAGAGGGTCCTGCAGGTCTGGGGACAAACTTCGGTCCGTGCAGGATGACACTGTAGGGGAAGGGCAATAGGGTACAAAGGTGAGCGGGAGCGGGGAATACTGCGGGAGCTCAGTTCTAGAGGGTCGGGGCTGAGAACCTCCTGCGTCCCCGCTCTTCTTTTTTCTAAAAGGGGGATTAGGGCAATTCCGACTACCTAGAGGAGAGGACTGTCAGCGCTGGGAATGGGGAAGAGAGGGCATGGGATTGGGGAGGGCGTCTGCTGTGGATTTCTCTGAAGTCCCCGGCCTCTCCCTATTCCTCTCTTCTTACCCCCACCCCTCTCTGGTCCCTGGCACCTTGGGCAATTGAAAGGCAGGACAGGTGGAGCCTGGGGCCCTCGCCTTGACCCGGTATGTGGAAGACATTCCCTTCTGTCAGGAAAAAAATTCGTTCGGACAATCTGGGTTCCATCTTCAGAGTGGGAGAGGCATCATAGGGGTAAAGGCAAGGGGGAGGAGGGCCAGTGCTAAGACCTGTAGGCGCCACCATTTTATGCAGTGCAGTGTGGGGACAGGACTCATTCCACGGCCAGTTGTGGTCACGTGGGACAGAGGGCAGGCAGAAGGCCAAATGTTCCCTCTCCCCACCCATCTCCAGTTTCAGCACTTCCTCACACCCCTTCACACAGTCCATTCCCCTTCTCTCCCTCCCCCTTGCTTCCCTCGATCTAAATGCTTTTCCCAGGTACAAATCCAGAGCCCCGTGATCCCGCCCACTACAGAGCCCTGAGCCGGAGCAGGAATGAGATCTGTCCCCACCCCCCAGCCTCCCACCTTCCCGCCCCGACGCCCCAACGCCCAGATGCGCCCAGGCTGAGGTTTGGGCGGAGGCTGTGGCTGCAGCGGGAGCACGCAGGCCTGGGTCCGTCCAGTCCAGTCCCCAGAGCCTCGCGCACCAGCCACGGGCCTCGGGCGGGCTCCGGGTACCTGAGTTGAGGCTGCCTTCCTTGACACTGGGCGAGTTCAAATAGTCCTCTTTGCAAACAAATTTGTTCTCATCTATTATATAGAGTTCCTCTCCCGTGGACAGTTGCTTGTTGCAGACCATGCAGGTGAAGCAATTGAGGTGAAATACTTTGCTTCGGGCCTTCCGAACCAGGTCGCTGGGAGAGATGCCTTGCGCACACCCAGCACATTTGGTGCCAAACCGCCTGAGGAAAGAACAGGGAGAGAAAAGTGGAGAGGGAGAGAAGCGTTAAGGTCAGGGTGGAGCCGGGCACCCCAACTCCAGCCCCGGACTGTGCCTACCACCCTTATAGCCTTGCATGTCCTTGCCAACACTACCTAAACCCTTCACCCCTCCTCCAGATCCCCACCCTCCAGCCTCCTTCTTTCCTATCCCGAACTCTCGGTTTCCTCTCCCGCCTGGGGTGGGAGGCCGGAGGCAACTGCAGGAGCTTTCTAATATTGCGGTTAATGCTTATCTATTAATCACAATTTTATTTATTCATCGGAATTAATAACAAGGTCGTAGAAAATCTTACTGGGCAAAAAACAGACTCCCAAACTGGTTCCCTATTAAAATAATAACGAAGATGGGGCGGGAGAAAGGGTAAGATCAGATTTCTTTCCCTTACAATCACTCTAACCCGGGCTGCTATCCTGCAGACCCTGAAGCCCAGGGGCCCAGGCGTTGGTACAGGCTTGGGGAGAGAAGGTTGGATTCTAAGGGGGATGAGGAGAGTGGGGAGAGGGGCCCAGGTATTGGAGCAGCAGGAGGTGGATTTTTTGGAGGCAAATGAAAAAAAGGATGTCAGGGGTTCGGCTAAGGCGGGATGCTGCCCACCCCTGGGAAAGAGCTTTCTAAAGCCTTATTCCCCGGACCGGCTGCAACTGATAGATGGCAGTGGAAGGCACAGACTTGGGGTCTTTACTTCCCTCAGGACCCATTTCCCGGGGTTCAGATCTACTTCGATCAGTTTTTCCGTGAGCTACTGGGCAGTCTGTGGGCTTCAAGCGGTCCCCTTTCCCGGCGGGATAGGAGACCAGGAAAAGGGCGGGGAGAATATAATATCGAGAAGCCCGGTGTCCTTGGGATTACAAAACTGGCTTCTTGTTGCCAAGGAATTGAGGACAATTCTTACCCTCTCCCAAGAGCGCTAGTTAATTTTAGGGAATTCCCCAGTCTTTTCATTTGGGCTGCCCGATGGGGGAACGATTTGCTACCCCCAAAGAAGAGAAGGAACTCAGGGTTTGTGATGGCCAGTGACAAATTCAGGAGTGAGATGGGAGGTGAAGGCAAGGTTCCCCCCCCCTTTGATGGGAAGTACACACAAAGTCGAGCTCACACACTAAAGCCACACAGACATACACATTAGCACCCATATAAACACAGAGATACACAGAGACATGAACACAAATAGTAGCACACAGACACCAACACACAAACTAATAGGCACACACATGGATACACCAGCACACACAAAGACATGCATACCCACAGGTACTAACAGACACACATACAGGTAGACCCACTAACATGCGCACACTTCCGTGGGCACATACAGAGGCAGAGAAGCAGGCCAATACCCAAAGATACACTGACATACTCAAAGACACACAGTCCCATATTCATACGAACACAAAAGCACACACATACACACAGGAACACAGAAATGGTCTGACTCTCCCAAACAGGGAGAATTTGGGTGACGTTGATGCAGTGAACACATTAGGCCCCATAAGTCATTTTCGTTCTTATCCTGAAGTATAATTGACTCATCTTCGCCTTATCCAAAATCATTAGAGGCTTTGAAAGCACCACAACTCGAGGGGGGCCGGGCAGCTAGCGCCTATTAGGAGTAGTTTACATGTGTAAAGCTGAGCCTGGCTTTTCACCTATTGAAATTCACCTTCGTTGGGCCTGAGGGGCTTGGCTCTCTGACTCTTTCTGGGATCTGTCTCTCACTGTCTACCCCAGGCCGCTGCCTTTCGGGCTGCCCCACACAAAGCCTTCTTTAGCCCCTATCTCCTGACCACCCTAACAGGGTTTTTCAAGAAAGGGAAAGGTAGGAACAGTTTTTAAAAATCCAACCCCACCAAACAACTTCGAAACGAAAAAGAAAAGCACTCCCCTCCCCATCCCCACACACCTGGACCCTGGAGAGCTACTTGACCAGTTCTTCCCACTCCCCCAGCCCCCAGTCCCCTTCTGGGCCTCGGCGCGCTTCTGTGTTTTCCGAATCCCCACTCTATGGGGCTCACTGGCTTTAAGTCGGTTCCCGGGCTCTGGCCAGGGCCAGCTCTCAACGGGCACCCCCTTTCTCTTCGGGTCCGAGTTAACCCCATCATGGGCAGGATGTTTCCACAGGAGAACCCAGCTCTCTAAACAGTCCCAGGCAGGCCTGGCCAGCCTGTGATCATCTGTGCTGATCCGAGGAAGGGAGGGTGACAAGAAAAGTTTGTTAGGTTCCCCTATCTTCGCACTCCCCTCAGATCTCTGAATTCCCTGGGCTTCGCTCCCTCCGCCTCAGCAATCCTGGTGTGTTTGTGTGTTGGGGGGCGGGGCTGGGGTCTTCTGGGGTCAGAACTAGTCGCTTCGGGTCGCAAGAGGACCCGGCAAGCAGGAAGGCTTCCGGTCCTTTACCCCGACTCTGCAGCCCTGGGCACCTGCGAGAAGGTTATCCCTATCCCAGCCCCTGGGTATTTAGGCACCCGGGCTGAATTGGGAACAGAACTGGTGTGTGTGTGTGTGTGTGTGTGTGTGTGTGTGTGTGTGTGTGTGTGTTGTGTGTGTGTGTGTGTAGACATAGAAGCCCCTAAGCCAGGCCCCTGGATCTCCGCCCCCATTCGCCTCAGCCTCTCTAGAACGCTCTCTATACGACTTCTCTCAGTTCTCAGGCTGGGGGAGAAGAGGGGAGACAAGAGGAGGGGAAGAAGTGGAGGCCAGGGCCGGGGAGCCGGTGTGGGAGCCACTCACCTGAAGAAGTCGTTCTTGCAATAGAGTTTCCCTTCCCTCGAGAAACACTTCTCGGTGAGGTTACATTTGCACTCGCAACACTGAACACACTTGATGTGCCACGCGCGGTCCAGGACGTTGAGCAGAAACCGGTCCAGGATGGGCCGCTCGCAGCCGGCACAATGCACCATCATGACCCTAGGGCCAGGGAAAGCCAGCCGCTCCCCCCCGCTGCCCTCTCGGCCCGGGAATCCAGGCGTTTGCGGTTCTCGCTGCAAGAGCGTGTGTCCCCCGGCCCGGCCCGGCCCGATGCGCCCGCCGCTACCGGGCGGCCGCGAGTCCCGGGCGCCGCTACCCCAGGCCGGTTGAACGGGCAGCCAAGACGCCAGAGAGTCAATCCTCAAGCTGAAGGGGGTCGGGGGGGGGCAGTGAGCTCTCGGTGTCTGGGAGAGGGGGGACGGTGGTGGCGTTTCACAGCCTCATCCCCTAGACCTGCGCTCCGCGCTTCCCGGATCTCTAAGCGTCCCCCCAGTGCTCAGCAGCGGTGGTAGTGGCGGCGGCTCTCTCCCCACCTCGCGAGCTGTTTCCCCGGGTGCCGGAGTGTCTGCTACTTTTCTCCACTTTCATGCCGTCCGCATCCTCATCTTTGTCTGGCCGCTGACTAATTCGCGCATCCTTATTCAGATTTGGTGACGTGAAGACGCACGTAGCGCGCCCGGCGGCCAATGAGCGCGCCGTGGCCATGGCAACCTCTTAAATTTATAGCATATCTAAATTGGCTACAGCATTGTGGTCCGGACAGAGCAAAAAAACAAGGCGTCAGTATTGTTGAGTATTAGATTGTACCTGGTGCTGGGGCTAAGTAAGTATTTACCTTCTCGTTTTGGGGGAGGGGGCAGGGGCGGCCGGGCGACTCCGGAGGTCCACGCGCCTGCCTCCTCGGCTTGCTGGGGGTTTGCCTCGTTTGCTCGCTCTCGCTCTCTCTGCCCAGAAGTGCCTGAGGGCAAGCAGGTCACAGGCTGGGGGGACCAGAGCCCGACTGAGAAGGAGCAGGAGCCAGGAGCCTGGGCCTGGTCTCCCCCACCCCACCCGTCTCTCTTCCCTTCTGCACACTGGGGGAGGCCCAAGTTGCAGAGGTAGCGTTGGCTGGAAAGTGAATCCAAACCTAGAGGGGGCCAGTGTACGCCCCACCCCATTCACCTCCTACCCGGGTCCCCTCCCCCAAGTCCCACTGAGAAAAGCCTCCGGCTTTCGGCCCTGGTGGACAGGAAGGAGAGTGAACTGAGGGGTTGGGCTAGGGAGTTGGGAGGGCCCAGTTTTAGCTTATGGCCAGTACATGTTGATGTCAGGAAGCTTTAAAAGCCCGACTTTAGTTAGGCTGCCCTGGGTCTGGCTGTGGTGGGTGGTGGGAGAGGCAAGGTCCTCACTCCCCATTACCGGAAGAGAGCCTAGGGTCCCCTGGGCCTCCTTCACACTTCCCCGGAATAGCCGGGCTGGGGATAGGGGTACGGGAGCTCGTGTGATAGCCAGTGCCGGTCACGGAAAGTGAGCTGGGGGTTGAGAGTGGATAGCTATTCTTTGTCTCCTTCGTTGCAGGTTCGGAAAGTCCCTCTCTTCTGGTTCCGTGAGTCACTTAGCGCGCCGCGGCGGTGACTTTGGAGAGCTAGGGGAAAGGTGGTTTCTAGTGGCGAGATTGCGCGCGAGGGCCCCAAGCGGCCTGGGCCCGGGCCGCACCAGCCAGCCTCGTTCTGCCCATAACCTGGGGCCTGGCCACTTGCCAACACTATCGAATTTTCGCCATAGCCGTCCGCGCGGCCCCCCTGGCGCCCTCACACACGAGCACGCACACGTCTGCCCCTCGTGTGTACAGACATGGGCCTTTTTTACTCACGCACTCTCTGTATTGGTTATACGTGCGGGATGGGCTCTTTCAGAGGAGCCGAGGTCTAGTGAGAGCCCTAAGCAGAGAAAGCTGTATTTCATCCAGCGTTGCGTTGCATGCGGAGACTGCCAGGTCAGGGAATGTTTACAGCGGCTCAACGGTCCCAGCCGCTTTTTTTAGGGTGCCTCAAATCGCGGCGTGACCTCGTCCTCTCAGCAGGGCGCTTTCGGCCTTGGCAGCTATTAGCCCAGCAGGCTTTCCTCGCTCCCCTTCCGTTAACCTCAGCCTAATTCGGGCCTGGGAAACCTTAGCAGGATCAAAGGAAAACGAGCCAGGTACCAAAGTTTTCTCTCCCTGTGGATGGAGCTCCTAGCCGGGCCTGGGAGAAGGGGGCCAATGTTTCATAAAGATGTCCCTCCTGTAGTCTCCTTTCTTTTGAACACTGGTCGGGTTGGGTGGAGAACGGGGACGGGGGAATTCGTTGGGAGATCCTTCTGTTGTCCTTCCCACCGCTCTGCTCTCATCGTCTCCCTTAGTCCTCTATGTTATGGAGAACGCTAGTTCCGACGCTAGCTCTTCCCCAGTTTGAGTGAGACGCTGTTATCAAAATACGACCCGCGGAGACCGCTGGGAACGTCGCACCAACCGGGAAAGGGGTGAGAGAGACAGAATTTGGGGGGATAGATGTTTGCCCAGATGCCACGGAATCCGGGTCAGTGGGGTCCAGAAACCTTCCCCCTCATTTGTCTGAGTCCCTAAGGACTAACTCTGCCCAGACTTTTTTCAGAGAAGGCAGTAATCTGAAAGAGGCTTGTCTGGAGAGATGGCGCTCCCCGGATAAAACGAAACCAGCGTAGCCTTACACTTCCCCCCGCGTCCTCCAAGCTGGAGAGAACGGAGCAGTCTACATCTAGCAGCGACCCCAAACTCGGCCACAACTTGATTTCGGCCCCAAGCATCACTCCCTGGGACCCAGCCAACTTTGGAACTGAGTTTTAAAAAGTCCTCAGTTCTTTCGTGAGAACACGCTAGCGAGTGCCCCTGGGTTTCTGTGCCCGAGCAGACATCCCTCACCCTAGCTCCTACATACACTTGCCGCTCTGTCTTAGCTTCTGGATCTGTCCTAGCACACGGCGGGCACCAGTAATCCAGGGCATTCTTTGGCACACTCTCTGAGCCCTCAGCTTGTTAACCCAGCGCGCGGTACAATGAAGCTGGGACCCTGAAGGATGAGAACCCTGCGCAGAAAGCTAGTGAGGAGCGAGGCTGTAACAACCCCGGGAAGCCAGGGAGCCCTCTGCTCACATAGTTTCAGGGGAGGTTACAAAGGCTGGCTGCGTTCCCGGGAGGAAGGCCAGTAGGGTGGAAAGGGGTGATGGGAAATGGTGAAACCTATGCCCGCCCTTTTCTGGGTCCTCAGCTCCAAGCTGCTAGGGCAGATTTGCTTAGTTGCTTGGAGATCTCCAGACATCTCGTGGCCACAAAGCACCCAGGTCAGTGTTAGGCCGGGAAGAGCTTGTGTCCACACCCTCGCCGGCCTGGGGCTACTGGATCTTATCGAGACCAAGCTGTGGACTGAAGGGTGGAAGGGGTTAGAGGTTGCTACTCCAATTCCTGTGCATCTCAGCGGGAACTTGCAGGCTCCAATTCCCTGAGGCCCCCACATCTTCCCTTCAGAGACCCACGGCCCAGGCGGAGAAAACAAAAAAGAGGGGGAAAACCTGCCCCCAACAAAAGCTTGTTTCTTAAAGAGAGCCGAATCTTTTCCCCGCCCACCCTCTCGCTCTGCCTAAGGCCTTTCCCCCAAATTTTCCACTGGGGAAATGGGGCTTGGAGAAGGGAGAACTCTTTCTTCCGTCAGCGAAGTCGGGGCCGGCAGAAGTGGAGGAACGAAGGGAGATGGAAAGGACGAGTTAGAAAAAAAGGAGCAAGTTTTCTCATCCGATGGAAATTCTCTCTCTCTCTCTCTCTCTCTCTCTCTCTCTCTCTCTCTCTCTCTCTCTCTCTCTCTCTCTCTCTCTCTCTCTCCTCATCCTCCCCACCCTTCTCTGTATGGAATTTAACAGTGAACATCCACCCTAGAGCAGAGCTCTTGCTAAATGCTTCCTAAAGTGGACTCAGTAGAAAACAGGAATTTCGTTTTGTCCCAAGATTTCAGAAGCCTTCTAACATCCTTCAAAACACTACAAAAACAAAACAGCCCTCCCCAGTTTTCTCCCTTTTCTCCTAAGATGTGATAAGATATAATTTGATATCATATGATTTGATATATGACATCCTATAATATGATATAATACCGACTAGCCTAGCTCCTTTGGGGAGTAGGTAGATGACAGAGAAGAGCAGCAGTAGCAGCCTGAGTAGGGGTCCAGCGCCATCCGAAAGCGCTTTCCCCCAGCTCCCCCAACAATCCTTGGTCTCTGGAGGGCCCAGAGCATTCTGATGGGCTCGAGGCGGATCTTTCTCGCCTGCAGGTTCATCTCTTGGAGTCTCTGGGAGCCAGATACTTCGGAGGTGCGGTCCCTCTCTTATTATGACCGTCCGAGGGTCTCTCTTGCGCAAGAGGCGGGGAGTCTTTCTCGAGCTTTATAAAAGAACTCATCTCTGTGATTGTCCGTTTCGGGGTCGGTTTTAGGGTTCTGTCTTCCCCAGAATCCCGAGCAGCCTGGCTTCCTAAATATTCTGTGTCTCTAGCCTCGCGACCACTGCATGGGACCCTACAGGGGCTGAGGCCCTGGCCCAGGCAGTTGCAGCATTCAAGAGACTGGTTCGCCCTCACCTGAGAGGAGAGGCCCAGTAGCGAGCCATTCGGCTCAGGACCGAGCAGAGAAGGCTAGTCCGCTTGCTAACTGGCGGGCGGCCCTCCTGGAGGCGCCCGGAAGGAGACAGCCGGGCCCCCGCTTTCCTCCAACCTGCGGAGCCCCACTGCACCCGTGGAGGCAGCCCCGCTATTAGGCACCCCGTTCGTTCCCCCCCCACCCCGCTCTCTCCCCACCCCAGTCCTCGCTACGCTAACAGATGGTTTTCCAGGCAGCAAATACCCTTCTATATGTAACTAATAAACCGATTGTGTCTTAACAGGGTAATGCATGGAGACGCAGTGTCACTTATACAAGATGTTGATGGAATTTACTATATAAAAACCTCCTTCCCAGAGTAAAGTGTATCCACATTACCACGGAACAGACGGCTGAGGGATAAGTAAGACAGACAAAAGACAAACAAGATAATAATCTGTTTCCAATCACTTAAGCCCTGTAGAATTTGTAATATGCAGTTTGCATATTCCCTCTTGTGCTTCGTAATTAATTA